GTTTTATTAAGTAAGGACTTGTGTCGCTAAAGTTTCGTCGAAACGAAGTTACGGAAAATCAACTAACGACTGGAGGCGTAACAACGCTATACCGATTGTTCTTGCAAGAAATGGCCTATATAAATAGTGTTTCGCTCACTACTATGTTTGTTGTGTTCCAATGGGCCTCATCTCGGTGGCTGAGCAGTAAGTCTAAGGACTTGTAACACTCGCTGTGAGAAGAGCATAGATAGCCCATTGTGTAGCTAAATGTTTAAAACAAACAAAATATAAAGTAGTCTTTCAATAATATAATCTATCCACACTTTGAACCATACAAACAAGTCCCAGCAGGCCTGATGAGCTCTGTATTTAACAAAACGCGTCGTCGTTTATTGATATAGCAGACATAATGTGGTTGAAATACTATTATGCACTCTTCTTCTAGTTGAAAAATCCCAAGAGACTGAATAAGTAATGTAGTACTAAAAATGAAATAAGCCTAATACAATCTCTCATGAAAATTATAATTAATTGTAAATATTACTGTTGACAAACAGTTGATATTTTAGCTTCTTTGAAGAGGCGTAAAAATTAGGCATTGAAATGTTATGAACGGATATTTTGTCTATTAGTGTACAAAAATTTAAGCAACAACACTTTTTTTTTAATAAGCAAAGATTTGAGACGAAACTAAACCAAACTAATTTATATCAGACAAATATTTTTAATAATTCTATTTTAATGTTTAGTTATTTTTAAGAATGATAGAAAGGTTTCAAAAGCAATGCTTTTTGTACAACAACAAAACATTTTATGACAAAGGTTCTGTTGTATCATCGAGGTTGTTCCATACAAAAAATAAATACAAAACTAAAACATAATACAACAATCTCAGTTCTTTGCTATCCAAAAATAAAAGCTTTTAGTGTTAAAGATATCAAAATGTGAATGGTTATAAACCCTAACCATCTGTTAACTCTCCTTAAAATATTGATTTACGAAAAAATATATAATAAAAGTGGCACATGACCCAGAAGGGGATGGGCAATGTGTTGATACAAGTGATAAATGATAAGTTTTATCGATATTACTGAATAGGGAGTCAACGTAGGTAGGACATGGTACTTCTGTTGTTCGTACTACGTGCGGAAGCTTATTGATAGTTTTGCTACTGCTGCTATTATTAGTCTGCTGTGGACCTGATACAGACAAGTAACTGAAACTTAAAAAGTGAACAATCTAGCAGGTAGCATTTTTTTCTTCACAACTTTTTCGTATTGGAATTAGTTTTGAGCTTATTACACGTTTACTAAAAGTTTTAGCTTAGTTATGTTGATCTTTGATCCATCGACGTACGTGCTACTGTTAGTTGTTACAATAGGCAATTCAAATGTTGATCCAAAAACTTGTAGGTATAATACTAATAGAGTAACATTATATATATTGATTTTTTTTCTGAGTTTATAATAAATTTGTTTTTGTTTTTTTATTTTAGGTTTTATTTGGAAACTACTGTGGGAAAAAAAATAACATGACTCTGACAAAGGTAATTAGTGCTAAACTAACTAGATTGTTCCCTCAGCAGCATATTTTTCTTTGGAGTATGCATAGACAACTTCAAAGATTGGACTGAACATATTCATTTCTCTCAATTACCAAGATTTACTAGGTTCTGTATAGTTCATTATTTAGCAGCCCAAAATGTAAAGCATTGATGTGTTTTCAGTTGACCATAAATTTCAAATAAAGAGCAATACCAAAGTAAAACCTCTAATACAGTTCCTTAGTCCTTGCATTGTATTGCAAAATGTTTAATAGGTCATTCTTAATGCATGCAGGTATATATATATATACACACACACACACACACACACACACAATAGGTCACAGTTCACAGTAGCATCGTTGATGAATATGATACTCAAGGCAGGTGGTAAACTAGTTTTAGTTTAGGCAATGATTTCACTATTTACAGTTGTCTGAAGCTTTATTAACATGGAAATAATTGTATTTGGCCCTAGATTTCAGGTTTTTGTATCAGAAATGTGGAATAACTGACATTCAGGCACGTTTACAAGTGCATTTGATACATCATTTACCACTCGGATTGTACCACAGAGTATCATTTCACCTATGATACACCAATTTGACAGATATTTACTGTTTCTTCTAGAAGGAACCATGCACTATAAAATTTTTCAAACATATATGTTGTTCGTGTAATGTGTTATTATCCAGGATTGCACTCCTGATGCCATACATACACTGAGTGGTCACAAGTAAATAGACACCTAATTTTTCGTCTTTTAACTGATTTATGCTAACTAATTTGTGTTCACAGAGCACTATATAAATGAAAATGGTCAGCACACTAATTATCTTGTGCTACAACATGCCTAGAACTCAAAGTTCTCTCAAATTGTCAGATTTTGTTAGAGGAAGGATAGTTGGTCAAGCAGATGGTTAGCAGCACTCCTGATGCCATACATAAATGTAATGAATCTCAACAAATTTAGAATAACATCAGAAATAACTCTTGGACTTGGATCCATGATTTATTTTGTATTTTTCTGTATTAGACTTTAACCCTCATGTTACAGACTTTAGGGTCCATATGAATCCTAGCAGTAATTAATAAAATGATATTATTTTTGTGTACCTCATATGTTATTAACGATCCAGTAACATAAATCTGTTAACCACAAGCAATTTGGTGCACAAATTGTTAGAGATATGTTGAGATCCATATGGCCTTCGTTGGTATTTTTAATGTAACACCTTGTTCTTTTACAGTTCATTTGCAGGTGAAAATTACACTTGAAATTATTGCTTATTGTTTAGGATAAACCTAATGTTTATTGCTATGACAATTTTTAACTTGTAGGTTATTACTGAGCATAAATTATATCTTAATAGAAAGTGTGAATATGTATCGTATTGGTGAAAATTAAGGGAATGTTATTGTTTTAAACTTGTAGCTTATTGCTGATATTGAACTTGCAATGATGCGAGAGTTCTTACTGAATTTTATGAAAATGTTGAAACTATGTGCTCTTTTCATTTTTTAATATCTTATTTGTTTGCTTGTTTCTTGATGATGTATGTTGTTAAGTAACTAGTGTTCATAGACAACATCTGATAGAAAAATATAAAATAAATTGTATTTTTAATATATTCTACACTTTTATTTACTTAAACATAGGTATTGTTCAACAACAGCCCATTAAGCCTGAGAGGACTGGCACGATTATTATCATCTGTTGCTAATCCCTCAGCAGAAACTACTAAATTATCTAGTGGGTATTGTTTTGGTAAGTCCGGTGCACCGTAAAGTTCAGCTAACCAAGTACAGTGGAATTTGCTGATAACTTAGTGATGATATACAGGCAGTAAAGTTTTTTTTTTATTGTTGATATCTGGTGTCTTTGAATCAAATGACCTTCAATTATTTGAGTTTTGTTTAGATGTCAATACTTTCACTTTATAAACAACAGATTTTCAAGTTTCTCAGTGTTGATGTATTATACTAGCAGCTTGTAAATAACTGACAGTTCTAGAGTATGAAAGTTTGTTTTTATTTGCTAGGGGAAAAACTATTGTCATGTAACAAATCGATGAGAGTTATTATTTTTAAAAATTACCATAAAGTGTAATAATACTATTTTATAATTGAATTTCATAAATAGCTTCAAGCTAAACATCTATGTAAAACTGCTGTAATTGGCATTATTTACCTCAAATTCTCATTGAATAACTAATATAGTGTTCTTAATTTGTAGAACTCACTGATGAGCAAAAGGAATATCAAGCTCTTGCTAGAAAGTTTACTCGTGAGGAGATCATTCCAATTGCACAACATCATGATAAAACTGGAGAGGTGAGCTATTCTTTGGGTTGAAACCTTGGTAAATTATTAGTTTGAGAAAAACTTAAACTGGAGCTTGAACTCAAAATATTATGCTAGTATAATATCTTTGAGATCTAAGCTACTTAGAAGTTCAGCCTGAACTGTTACGCTGTTTACCTTTGAACAAGATTTCCTCAACTTATTGTGTTCACCACATTTTCTTTCAGCACACTTTCTTAGGCTTAATATTGGCACTAAATTTCTCCAGAACTCCCTCTGATGGTATTTTCCTATGGTCGTAAAGGAGTTCAAAAATTAGATATGCAAACTCTTTTCTCTCTCTCTATCATTTTTGGTTTATAAATTTTTTGGTGTTTGACAATTAGATAGTTGATAATGTTTTTCCTATTTCAAAAGGGAGTGACATGAGTTGCCTTGTAAATTAAGATCAATTGGTCTTACTTCTGTAATGTTAAGATTATAGAGAATCTGGTAAAAGGAAGTCAAAGTGGATAAAAGTCAGCTTTTTTAATATAGTATTTTTACTAAATAATTTATGAATCGTTTACTATACTATTATGAGTAAAACTTGGTTTTGTGCTAACAATAATATTACTTTGTTTCATCTTAGTTTTTGTATTTTATCTGCATAATCTCTAGAATACTTTTTTTTTTTTAACTATGGTGACTGCAGATTGTAACATACAATTACAATTATTTATCTTAAGAGCATTAGGCCTCTTGTTTCTTTTTACAGCTTTTTATTTGATTTTATTTTTCATTAATCTTTGAACCATGTCTAATTCCATGACAAATAGTAAATCTATGGGTGGGATAACAGAATAAACAAATGGATTATATCATGCACATCTAACTACATAGACTCCTCATTTAGTTTTTCATTTAACTTTTCTTGTCTAACATAATAAGTTTTTAATTTTTACATTTTATTTACTTTAGCTTATAGTTTATTGAAAAGAAACTACTTGTTAGATATAAATTTTTTTGTTATTAGCTGAAAAAGGTGGTAAGGACACCATTTTGAAGTGTGAGGTCAAGGGTTATCTATAGCCAAAACCAGTGAATTTTGTGATTATAAATAGAAATATGTTAATAAATATCAATCTAGTTAAAACTGACTGGATATACAAAATAGAACTTTCTGATCATTGATAAAAAAAAAAATTCTGAGATGAAAAAAGTACTTTTATATATTTTTCAATACGATGCTGGGATCAAAATTTTTGCAAATTTCACACCTTAAAAAATGACTCAAATTGTATGAATTTTCAAGCCAAAACTAGAAACCATTTAGTAAGTTTGAAGCTTCATGCAATTTGATTAAATATTGCCAGTGTGAGAAGAAAAATACTGGGCAATATCAGCGACACCCTTCCAAACTGGACAAGGTTAAGTCTCAAAGTATTTATTAACATTGGTGCTTTTATCAATGCACGAGGGAACAACAGAAGCATTTAAGTACCTTATTAACTATGTATACGAGTGGGTCAAATTGCTCATATCACAACTCTTTTTATAGTGTTCCATTCAAAATTTATTTAAACAACTTTATTATTAATGTATCTCAGTAAACTTCCATCAAAGCATAGATCATAATTAGGCAAGTTTTAATTTATTAATTCCAAAAGGAAATATTTAAAACAGTTATCAATTTTCACTCATCTGTCGCATGACATGTCTGTGCTCCAATCTATCTCTCCAATTGAAATTTGATAATTTCAACAATAAAGAATCTATAGTTCCTAACCAATTAAAAACTAACCACACACACATATTGACAAGGAAGAATATAAAATTTGAACCTTCTGTCTTCCTGATTTGCAGAGATATCAATAAATTTCGTAAAACCCACCAAAGAAGTCCCTCCCATCTTTTTATGCATTTCAAACCAGTTATTCATTCGTGTCCATTTGTCTGATGGACATGTTTATAACTAATAGAAAGAGCATATTGTAATGTACAGGAAGTTTAAGTTTTTCTGTTTAGTTTTGGTATTCAAAGGTTATATAGTTCACAAGAACATCTTGCTGTGTGTTGAGTAGTCATTTTTCCGAGCAGTAATGGAATCGTTTTTAACCTGTTTATGATTTAGTTAGAAAGCCAGTTAAATTGTAGTAGTTTTGGGACATTCTGTTCTGGTGCCTGATATATTTTGTATGGTATGATCTAAAATGTAAATTTGAAAGTTACATGGGATTTTTTATTTATTTTTTGACAACCAACATAGTGAGGGGAAAAACAGGGTTATTAATGCATGGCATCAGAGTACTTATGGACTGAAGCTGAAGTAAGTGAAAAAATTTTTGTTTTGTATGTATATTGTATTAACTATTGTTAATACATTTTCAACAAATGTAACTTAAATGTATTAAAAGTAATAAAATACAGTGCGAGGGTCCAAAGTACAGTAATAAAACCATATAATTAAAAGAAGGGGAGATGTGAAAAGGTATTGTTGAGTTTATTTCATAACTTTCAACTTTTAATTTCAGTGTATCTTGATGATTTCACTAATTAGTGTTAGGGTAGAAAAAAAGAAGTGATAAGGTGTAAAGTTTTACTAAAAAGAACTGGTATTCAGGAGTTTCCTTAGGTTCTGCAGATGAAATATGAAAACTGTAAGAGGAAAAGAAACATTTCATTTCAAATCACATTTCACTGAGACTGATTCAATAAAAACTTCATAAATTCGTAGACAAATCTTTAGTAAGAATACTTTATTAAAAATTGAATTTTTTCTGTACAGCAGACTAGTAATATTCACTAAAAGCTTGCCAAATTTCATGAAGATGCACTCTGAGTGTTATGTACAGTTTTGCAGTTATGTGGTGGGCCTGGCATGGCCAGGTGGTTAGGACACTTGACACATAATCTGAGGGTTGCAGGTTCGAATACCCATCCCACCAAACATGCTTGCCCTTTCAGCCATGTGCGGCATAATAATTTGACGGTCAATCCCACTATTCATTGATAAAAGAGTAGCTCAAGAGTTAGTGGTGAGTGGTGATGACTAGCTACTTTCCCTCTAGTCTTTCACTGCTAAATTAGGGACAGCTAGTGGAGATAGCCCTCATGTAGCTTTGTGTGAAATTCAAAACAAACAAACAAAGCAGGTACATGGAAGTTACAAGGTCAGTCAAATTGACCAAGCTCATACGCATAGGGTAAAATGGTAAATGTTTTACGTATTATACACAAATGTATTTCACTTCTACTGAAATGAGTTTCATATGTTTGCCTGTATTCTCCTAAGTTTTTTCCTCTGGTCTTGATAGACAATTCTTCATCCAAAAGACGAGTGGATTGGTCTCTGGCTGAAAGCCTGCTTATGGGGATAAGTTGAGATCTCTTAATTTATTTTTCTGAAGGAGGATAAGAGCTAATCTTACAATAATACATGTTGAATATAAAGTCACATGACAACCACAGCCAATAATAGTCATGATGGAATGGCATGTATCAGAACTACATTTTGACATTGTTTAACATTTTGTAGGTAGTGTGATGTCACCAAAAATTGATTACTTCTGTGAAACTTGCATAATAGCTCTTTCTTTTAGTTCAGGTTGGGGATTAATAACTTATAAGACTAGGATTCTTGAGCAGGTGGTGCTCAGTTATTTTATAATGGAATGACCAACAGTGAACATGAGTTTTGCATGTCCTCTAGGAGCATGGATGCTGTTCTGATAGTGGGTAGTCCTCTCAGTTTTAACTGCTTTTAGGGGCAGTGAGTGTTATCTATCTTCCAACAAAAATAGTATTTTTAGTTATACCTAATTCGTACATTAAAGTTGTTTCATTAAAAGTATTAGTTATTATTTTTATTATAACTAATTTTAATGTTTTATTGTTACTAAAATAATTTCATGTTGTTAGCTTAATACTAACTTTTGATCAAAAAAAGCTACCTTCTTAGAGCAAAACTAAAAAATCAACCAGCTATTGTTAATAAGTATAGCTAAGAAAATATACTTTTGTTACATTTTTAGTTGTTATGATTCAAATGCATTGTTTCATCAGTTGGTGTTTAATTTATGGATTTAGGACTATTCTAAAGTTGCTAAACTGGCCATGCCTAATTGAAGCTTTTTCCATGGTCTTGCTATTTTATTAATATTTATGTAATAAGTTCAACAATGTTTTTATCAGTATTTTTGTCACTATGCTCCATGTTTGACACGTGTAATTAGAACCTTTATTACCTTTCAATGACTCTTTCTGAACGTAATTCCATTGTAACACAGTCTTTACTGCCTGATGAAGGACGTCCACTTGAAATATCACACAAAAAAAAGTAGAAAAAGTTTTCATTTAGATATGTCAATATATTCTTAATATCAAATATATATATATATATCATATATCAAACTTTTACCACAGTATTGATATATATATATATATACTTTTTGTTTTAACTTAATTTATTTTTATTATTTGGTTATTCTGCATTTTTTGTTTAGTATATGGGTTTAGGAATAACCCAAATCTGAAACTTTTATGGTGTTGGATTTTTGGTCTAGTCACGTATGAGTTTAAATACATAGTGTTGAAAAAATCTGATGACTGTGTGTGGTGTTTCAGTGACTGCAAGGTTAAACTTAAGCAAGTTAATCCTAAAATCCTATTTCAGAATACGTGATACCTACCAAACAACTCTAGTACCAAAGACACTTTGAGCTGAATGATTTAATCAGGAATGACAAACTGATAAACTTGTCTAGTAAGTGACTCCATATCTAGTGATGCTTTCAAAACCTGGGTTTGGGGGACAAATATTAAAACTCAACAGGGTGAAAACCTGGATTTTGGGGACAAGTATTAAAACTTAACATGATGATGGTACCAGCACTTTAAGTGCCCTTAAAAAAAGTGAAGAAATTCACACAAAAAACCCCAACACATGAACACTACTGTCTGAGGTGGAGCTGTAAGGGATGATAATTTATTCCCCAAATATCTTTCCCTCTGCAATGCATAGTACTATCCATACCTACCTCTCCCTTACATGTATGATTATATCGTCCGTATTTCTTTACTCCTAATTTCATTTTTGCATAGTTTAATGAAGTTTAAAAATGTTCCCCACACATGTATAGGTATATATTTTAGTTCCGATCTATGTACGTAGCTTGATTTGATCAGAAGTTAATATTAATTTGATTTGGGCTAGATAACTTCTGTATTCTCAGAAAGAAACATTAGTAATTTGTCATTGTATACTACAATCTAAGAAAGAAGAGTGTGATACTGCATGGCTTGCTAAAGCAGCTTAAGGCAGTGCACAATTATTAAGAGACTTAAAAAAGGTCTTTCACTCTGAAGCGATTCCAGTAAGTATATGTTTTTGAGTAAAAATATCTATAATTTTTCATTTATTACATGTATGTTTTGTTATATGGTTACCATGCATTGTTAGCTTAATATGTGGATTTAGTACTAACCTGACTCTCCTAAGGTGGCTGAACTTGTTGAGATATTATTGGAATTATGGCTAAAATGTTGATAAAAATGAGGGTACTCAACTCTTAACTCAGTGCATTGTAATCACTAAGTGTTTGTTTTATAATTTTGCATACTCTTAATTAGAGTGGTGTGATGAAATATTTATAATTACTTGGCTATTTCAGTAGTTTTAGCCTGTGTAGGTAGCTTGGTTTCAATCATTATAAAAACTCTAGTTCATCAAATGATTGAGGTAATCAGAACAAGACCAAAATAATTGTCAAACTGAACAGTTAAGTAGTCAACCTTAAGTATAAGCAGAGCATGATGGGAAAACAGTACAAAACTACAATGGCTACACCTTATTTTTATACATTGTGTTTTGTTTTTTTTGTCAGTCAAGTAGAATGAATCTATTATTGTTATTTACTTAAATTTAATGAATAGTATAGAGAAAAAAAAAACATGTATATAGCTAGACATGAGTTCCTACTTCAAATATAACTATCTGTTTTTGTAATAAAAGGCTACTTCATCTGATAAACACTAGAAAACGAGATAGGAGTAAGTAAAATGTTTTCAAACTTGCCTTGGAAGCACTGGGGGGAATTGGTATCTCTCCCACACCCACAAATGTTTTTTAGGTACCATATATATATATATATATATATATATATATATTATACAAATATGTATTCTTACTTAGTAGGCACGTGACAAAACAAACGTAGGGTTAGTAGTCTTCTACACGAATTGTGCATTATTACTTTTACTTGTCAACA